TAAAAGCGTCAGCTATATGACACATTATGTTATGTATGTAACAAACGCTACTACATGCAAACAATACAACTTAAAGTAATTCAATTGTGTGACTCTAAAGGTCTTTGTTTGGGCTAAATAGCAAAGGGGGAGAATACATATGCACACACTACTTTTCAGTTTTACATTTTTTGTTATGTTTTAAAACGTGCTCTTTTTTTCTTTCACTTCACCAATGTAGGCTCTACCAGACATGTTAGGACACGGCAATGGTTCTAATTATGCTAATTGGACATGCATGTGCAAAATACCATTGAGAAAAGTTGTCCGTACGGTTAGCCGTCACTCTTGTGGTCAGAGGGAATGGATGCAGACAAATACAAATGTTCAGTGTCCACGTGGAAGCTGCATGTAGGTCACATGGATCTGATTTTGTACCGCACATCCTTGTGGTCCAGATAAAACGGGGAAACATGTGACTCAATGCAGATTTAGCTGCTCGCTGATTAGGAAACATCAGATCTGTGTCACATGGAAGAATGGCAAAATAGAATTGCGATGATTTTAGCTGCATTGTGAATTTTACAAGGTCTTAAAGGAAATGTTTGTGTACATATCTGTAATATCTATCTGTCTAATAAGGTTTCACACTAGCACAGGAGTATTATGCCATTACAAATAACCACCTATATGTAAGCTTAACAAGTTCTACATTCTAATAAGAACATACATGTTGCCAGGCAGTGCATGTTACACATTACAATGATTCATCTGCTAAAGAGTGTTTCCAAAAATATAGATCTGTTAACATTTTGAAGTTGTTAACATTCAAATACAAAAAACATGTGACTACAGCTGAGTAATTGATCAACAAAACAATTTACAAGTATGACATGATCAGATTGTAGCCTCTGCAGACCATTTACATGCACTAAAACCGATATAACACTACAGGAAAGGGAAAACCCTAGAAAATATAATAGGGCCTTTTTTAAAGTGAAATGTCCGTGCTATGATACCAAACATTGCTTAGTTGCAGTTTCACAAACCTTAAGATACGTTACCCTTCATTATTTAGTCAAAATAAGCTAGCGATTAATATATCTTCCTCCATGTGGGATTGGTTGAGAGAGCTTGGCAGAATAAAGCATTTTCAAAAAGAAAAGCTTAAACTGATCATAGATAAGCCCAGTTCCCAGTGTGTAGTAATAGCCGATAAATATGTCCTTTTTCGTAATAGATATTGTGAAAATAGAGTTGTGTTAATATGCTATTTAATATCACAGTCTGAACTGACGCCAGTGAGTTCTGAAATAAACCTTCAATGTTTTGGAGTAGTAATAAGACATTGTATTCACTGTTTTATGCTGGAGAGTTAGTTCATAGATATTGAAATGGTCTTGTGGAACTATCTGCGGCCCCCCTGCCTGATTTGTTTTTGAAAGCACAGCATACTGTATATTCAGAGGCATTAGACTACATAACACTGCTCAGAGGTGACAGAGCAGAGACACTGAGGTTGATTTGTAGTTTTGTTCTGGAAGAAAAGTGTTCATGTGTAGCATTTATTCACTTCACTACACCGGTGTACTACTCCTGACATCCAAATCACACAGCAGCTGAAATATAGGTTGACTAAATAAACCCAGTATAGATTTCTTAAAGCCGTGAGGACGAAACATCCACTTTCTCTCATTTACTCTTGTGGGTACATTTGGTGACTTTTGTAGTCTCAACTTTTCACTGTAGAGGTAATGGTATCATTTGTGAGAGACCTGCCTGGCTCTGAGGTGGTGTCTAATATTACAAATAAAAAATATGCCTCAAGTGGCTTTTCAATATTTACAGTGGACGCCCTCTTCTGTCCTGACTCGTTTCTTATGAGCAAGAACTCTCAAGCTGTAGGTGTTGTGTTCAGGGGGGTCAGACAGGTGTGTGAGCTTAGCTTTCTTAATTATTGCTCTAAAATGAGCAACCTGCCGATAAAGACAAGTCTGACACATCACATGTTTAATGTTATCTGGATTTAGAGCTTTCCTGCTTCACTTGTCTAATATGTGTGATGGCTGTGCTGGTTTTTCTTAGGAATGATTTGAAACATTAAACCTAATTCTCAAGTATATTACAACATTTATTTTCAACATTTTAGTTCTATTGCATGATGTAGTGCTGCTAAATACTGATTTGTTCATGCTCTCTGTGTTTCTCCCAACATCCTCTGCGCAGTGCAGCAGTCCTCCGTGCACACTCCGCAGAATGATGGGTTTTAAAATGTGTCTTTTATTTTCACTGTATTACAAATGGAAGTCCTAACAGATTTAAATATCTGGACGTTAAAAGGTGCAGGTATATCTTAATGTGTATATGCACTACTCCCTGTCTCGATTGTTCAGGTGGACTTTCACTAAGAGCTCTCATCTCTTGTTTTTCTTTTTTTCAAGAAACGCCAGGTCGTTCTCACATTCAAGCTCTCCAGTCCAACTGCCATATTTATACGAGTATCATGGTTTTCAAAGATGTGTAAGATATTTCAACTTTTACTCATGTCCTTGAGTTTTTACAAACTCTAATCCTAGTCACATTTGAACTACTTAGGGCTGCCAAATTAATACAAAAATGTATCGAAATGTGAATACTGAAGATTGATATATGCAATCTTTAGAATGCAGGAGGTGGAACATTTGTTGAAGGCTAAATATGTTTTAAATTCAATTTTAAATAAAGTATTGTGGAGCTGCAGAGATATCTCGGCCTAATCATTACTTTGGTACGGATCCTCTTAAAAAAAGTCACACCATAATCATTTCATATATTTTCAATTAATGACAATTATGATTTAAAAATGATGATTCCTTGCTATATTATTGTGAATAATATTGCAATATGTGTCAAAAATAAACTCAATAAGTTATATTTTCCGAATCATGCAGCCAAACCCTACTAAAAATAAGACTTACACTAAATCATAAAAAAGCTTAACCAGTGTTTCCTTAATATTTCAAATATCCTGGAGTGCAGAGGATACCTCCCATCCTAAAGGCTTAAGCCAACCATTTTGTGGGCGTCAGGTAATGGAAACTCATTCATTTGCATAAAGTGAGAGAAACTTTCTCTAGGCGGTGCTTCTGAATGAGTTTCAGTAATATCCTAGAGAGCCGTGCTGTTGAATGAAATCTATTGGCTGTGGTCCTACTCCACATGCCTGCATGAAAGCAACCCCAAAGGCAGGGCTGCTGTACCTGCGTTTCTCAAAGAGTCTGAGATGTGTGATATGTTCTCTTCTAGCTATTGGGAAATAAGTCTGTTTCAACATTTCTGTGCTTTTACTGGCAAAAAGCAAACACTGGAGCAGAAAAGTTTCCACTAAAATGTCAGACAAAGTTAAAGGTGTTGACCCTGACACTAAGTGTTTTAAAAAGAATTCACTGCGATTCTCTAGGCCTGAAAAAATGGCTAATTGCGATTATTTTTGACTGATATTGCAAATGCGATCTGATTTACAGAATTGCATCAGGACTTTCGTTGTCTTTGAAAGATATACAATTATTATGGGGGGACTTTTTAAAGAGGACCTTTACCAAACAAATATATTTGGTTACGTCTGTAGAATGTGATTTGTAGGTCAGGATATCTCTGCAGCTCCTCAATAACACCTCATTGAATATGTTATTTTAACACATGTTTAACCTTTAACACAAATATCCTGTGATTTGAATATTGTCTAATTGTCCTGCCCTTACTCTGTCCTTCATTATTATTTTGAAAAAATCTTTTTAGATGTCTTTTGCGAGGAATCAGGGCTCTCATATTCCAGGAGATGATATTGTTCCATTTTTTTTTTTGAATGAGTGTTTCTGAATGTGTTTCTGTACCGGTTCTCTCTATTGGGATCACAGCTTTCTAATGATTAATCATCAAATTACTCATTTATATTTTTGGTGTGCATCTTAGCAAAAAGGTAAACAATAGTTTTTTCAGTGAAACTTGGCAGTTAGTTAACATAACATATTTTGGGGAAATGTTTGCAGCATGCAGAGATCTATGGCTGTGATGTTATTGTGTAACTGTCAGGTTGCTGTTGTGTAGAAAGACATTAAAGGCCCACCCTCCCCTCTCAGTTTCCTGCTGAATAAACTAGACTAATAATTCCCATATTAATTAGGGCATCAGTGGTCATATGCTGCTTCTGTTGAGAGTAAAGAACATTTGTAACACTTAGCGTGTCATTGAGCAGTGATTTTCTGCTTGTTGTACCTTGTAGATGTTAATTGGTGCCAAATTAAGTGCAAAATGTCAAATGTTCTCATGTAAACACAGCTTCACAGTGGTGGCCTTTAGCTGAATCAATTAGGCCCCGTCAACACCAAGGCAGGCACATTAACAAATGCTCTTTCTATAACAATGGGTCATTTTTCTATCATTTCTAATAACGCACATTTTTATCTTTGTAATAAATGATATGGATTTCACTCTGCACATTAGAAACTCTGTCTACCTGTTGTTTTCCAACGTCTTTCCATTTGTCAAGTAAATTAGCTTTCATATTAAGGCTTTTTTCCTCATTTGTGAAAACATGTCTAAACACACACTATCTGAACAAAACTCAAAATGTTATTTAAAAAAAAAAGAACATTTCATTTAATTTTCAGTTGGTTAACAGCAGAAGTGTACTTTACTGATAACAAGGGCTCTCAATCAAAACAAATATTGAATCACCCAATGTGCATTGTAAACTTGTGATTTATCATGATTATAGAAATGTATCACACATTTTGTATCTGTCCTAAATTAACCTTAAAGGGATATACTGTATATATATATATATATATTTCTTTTTAATGAAGGCAACAGAACACGTTAAAAAAATGGTGCCATTAAAGGAAGTTGGAGACGAAATTTAACATTCAACTTCACAAAATGTTACTCTCAGTGCCATCAAAATGACACAAAACATTGTCAGTGCCGTTTGTTTCGTGTGCGTTTCTGAAAGTAACACAAATGATTTCCTTTTGTGTGAACAGATGCAGTGAAGGGATAGAAGATGAAAATACACAAGAAGGACAAGCAGCAGGTTTGTAATGAACACACACAAACACACACTTAAACAGCACACACACGTTTAGTCTCCTGAACGCCTCTGTCACAGTTCCAGCTGTCTGTCTTGTGTTGTAGAACTGTTCTGTTGAAGGTGTTTTTGTATTCCTTGTTGCATTTTTGTGATGGCTTGATGTTTTTTATATTTATGAGTCGGGCTGAGCAGAGTGATGAGTCTTTGGTGAGTTTGAGGTGACACAGCAGTCTCTCGCTGAGCAAGAGGCCTGCATACTGCAGTGACAGGCTGCGAGCAGCACCGTTACAGGAAAACAGAAGCATTACCTTTTTATTTGTTATTATACCAACTCGATCATTGGATGAAAACAATTATGATGATTCAACATTGTTGTAGTATTACTCATCAACAGCTCAAAAGTCTGTTGTAGTAACTCAGAATCAACTCTTTATTTTCAGCATAATTCAAGTGAAATAGTTTTTAATGCTATCTTTAAACTGTGATATTAAACAGGAACAAATAGAGAGACGAAGTCCCTCCCTTTCCGGGGGACCTCCATGGGACCTTATTTCGGAAAAATTATGTATTGAAGTCAATGGCGAGAGAAAGATTATCTTTTGATCCCGTTTGAATTGTGCCACGAATTACACATATGATGTTTGTCCATTTAAAAGATAATTTTGCAAGTCAAACAAATCTAAATGTGTCGTAAAACTGTGATGTAACACTTTTTTTGTGTGAAACCGCTCAATGAACTACATCTCCCGTCTCGCACCACACACCAAGATGGCCGTCACGTTGGCACATTTCACTTCTTTCTTTCAGAATGAGGCGAAAAGTATTAAAAGAGGTGAAAATCACTCCAAGTCTGGGCATGTTGAGAGCTGTGCATACACACAAGGGGAGTTAGTCGGTTCCGTGAGAGCCAGCATGCGGGACCGGGATTCTGGGATTTGTAGTCTTTCTAGTTGCGTATTTTATTTTTAGGACAAACTAGTCACAGTTTGTCGTAAAACTGTTGAAATATAAGACTATGAAAAATTGCCTGTGGGATGAAAAGATCATTTCCATGTCAAAAAATGACATGGAAATGATTTTTTAAATGGACAAACATCATATGTGTAATTCATGGCACAATTCAAACGGGATCAAAAGATACGTTTTCTCTCTCCATTGACTTCAATACATAATTTTTCAGAAATAAGGTCTCATGGGTCGGAAGTAGATGGGCAGGACTTCGCCTCTCTATAACCACACACCTGCCTGAAACGCCTCCATTGGACTCCTTTGTTTTCTTCCGTAACATAATGACATCACTATGTAACACTTATTGGCTAGTGCTCCGACACATTGTATATGATAGGCTAATGGGAGGGACATTTCTAACTCCTTGACCAATCACACCAGAGCCAGCCAGCTAACCAATCAGAGCAGACTGGGCTCTGGTTTCAGACAGAGGGTGAAAAGAGGTGCTGCCGCACAGGCAGTATGAGAAAAATAAAGAGCTTTTTGAACAATAAAGCATGAAGACATGTCACAGTAGAGACTCTAAATACAACCTGAAAATGAACATAATATTTCCTCTTTAAACACACTTTCTTAACAAACACCAGCTATTTTATAGAAAGGGAACAAATCTTTTCATTAACTGGTCTTGTTCACTGATTTTGGACAAAAAAAAGAATAGCTGGGTTAACTGATCAGCTTCCTGACCAGTTTAGATGAAAATGATGCTCTTTTCAGGTCAACAGGTTGACGTAAGGCACACCAACCTAAATTGTTCAGTAGTAGTGAAGTTTCTCGATTCACTCTCTACAAGCACCAGCAGTGCCATATGAATTGCTTTGCTGTCACAGTGCTTCAAAGTTACAGGAAGGGTGATTAACATAATGATTAATAACGAAAAGATATATGGAAAATGAAACTACCCAAGCAGCTTTGACGATCTAAAACTATTACAAAAACTAGTAAAAGAAGTTGAAAACTCATATTTTCCCAACTCTTCTTATCTGTGATTTTGCTGAAAATCGTTGAGCTTGAAAACAAATGCGTCCTTGTTTAAAACCCATCTGGCAAGTTTTTGATGCGCCAGACATGAGTGTAACATTTTAAATGTTAAGTATTTCTTTATACGCCCTTAAAAAAAGTTCAAGGTTCTTTATTTAGTCATAACAAACTTAGCTACAGTGTAGTTATGCCGATGAAAATCTTGTGTCACAGGCTTCTCCAACAGTGCAACACAAAACACAGATAAACAGAAAAATATAGTGCAAGTAAATAGTAAATAGTAATACAAAAAGAAAAATAGTTTTACAGCCCTGTGGGCCATCTAAGCTAATTTACAGATGGCCCTGAGCCCAATAGAGATTGCCCTGAAAATTACGCCGAGGCGGGGCAGGGGCAGGATCAACTCCTGAACAACAACAAAAAGCCTGCGTTTTATCCAATTTGTACACAACGATGGAGAAACGTAACAAGCAGCAGTGGTCCACTGAAGAGACCAGCTACCTGCTGGGAATCTGGTCTTCCGAAGAGGTACAGAGGAAGATGGAGCACAATCGGCCATTGTTGTTGTTGTCGGTGTCAGCTGTCAGGGGTTTCCGTGCGCTTTGGCTTTATGAAGCAGGCACGCAAACGGTTACGTCATGACTCAAACGATGACGCAATGACGCAGCACCAGTTGGACTCTGGGCAGTGTCAAAAGAGCCGGAGCTAAACCGAAGAACTGGTTCTGAACCTGAAAAGCTCTAGCACGGAGCTTGAACCGGAGTTGCGTTGGTGTGAATGAGGTATTAGCTGTCTGGTGCATTCTCTAGACTGAATTATAAGATGAACCACCACAATATTATATTGTACAATTTCAATTGTATTCTTCATTTCACTTGTTTGTTTGTTCTTGTTTGTGTTTGCTCGCTTGCATGCCCTGCATAGCTATAAGAAACACTTAAGTTGGTCAAGAAAAAAGTAGAAAACATTACATTCAGTTATAACTGCCAACAAACATTATTTACACTATTATGGCCCCTGTTAAAAATGTTTGTAATGTTATCTACTGTAAGTAGGTCGAACGAATGCCTCCTCATCCGGAAGCTGACCGAGCAGACCTGAGCAGCAGTCGAGAGGAGCCGAGCGCATCGGCGAAGCACACACAATGGCGACGTTGTTTGATCGGTCAAAATGTCCGATCAAAATAATTTCCCTTGCCACTTATGTGACAGACAAGAAGAGTATGTGACAGACAAGAATAGTCAATTATAATGTCTAACACTTAATGTGGAGAAAGAGATGTCCTGTATGGGTTGATTGTGCGTTGATCTGTTGGTAATGCCTTGGGGTTCCGGTGGGCATGTAAACAAATGCATAATGCTGCGCTATACTTTGCGGCCTCACCCGGTTGCATAGCGACACTTATTGTTTAGGTGTCTTTTAATAAGCAGGTAGTTATCATTAGCTAGAACTAGCTGGATCTGATCGATATGGACATAAACGCGAGTGAAGTCTAATCTGACGGGAGAGAGAGATCAGCTGCTGCTGACGAGTCGACACGCAGCTCTGCATAATCACATGCAGCGGTGAGCGGACAAAACACACACTTCAGGTTAGAATATCACACGTAGCTATTTTAATTACCTCTCAAACTACCTAAACTAGTTATAGATATGTTTAGTTTTACTGTCGGGTCACTCATTACTGGATCCGCGAGCTGCATGATACTGGCATAATAGATTGCCCGATCGGGCAACCAGCAGGTGAGGCTTTATTGCTCGAGCTAAATACTAGATGGCCCCGGGCCGCGTCTATCGTTTTTCCAACCCAGTTTAGATTTAACCACGCCTACTTCCGCATTACGCAAGGATCGACGTAGCTCTACGCGACAGCGTCATAGACTTCTTCTTCGGCAGTTATAGCGGTCGCGGTAAAGCAGGATATTGAATAGTTGTTTTTTGTCTTTCCAAAGGATTTGTTGACTGAAAGTAAACGATCCTGTAATCAAAGCCATATCGAAGAGTCCTGAAATTGTATTACTGGTGTTTTATCATCTATAAATAGCCTGTGTGCATCCCATAGTGCATCCTCAAATGTTGTTTTCAGGACAAACAAAAGACGTTTTAAATATCTTATCAGCTGGTGTAAGTGCAGAATATTGAATATAACCTTGACTATTACTGTGTACTTCATTTATCTGACAGCATTATGTAATGATACTATTTTATATATATATATATACACACATTTATTCATTAATAAACATATATATATATAAACACACACTTATATGTACTCACATGTATTTATTCATGTATACACACAGATGTATTCATTCATTTATACACACACTCACATATATACACTTTATATTCATTCATTTGTACACACACACACACACACACACACACACACACACACACACACACACACACACACACACACACATACATATATATATATAAAAACAAAACAACACAATATAATAAAAACAGTTGAAATAATAACATAATATGGTATGATCAATTCAATTCTACCCTTTTGTTTTTGCTCCATTTCAATTAAAATATATTTTTCAAAATCAATATCGGTGGGGGCTCTTTTGCAAAGATAATCAATAACACCACCTGACAGTTGTTGCAGATTATACAGCATACTTGTTACTTACACACATGTGCAATGGTCCCAAAAAAGCCCAAATCTGCACTAAAAAAATAAAATACATTTATTAGGCACTCTGAATAAGGGTTGACTGTGTAATAATCATGCCTTTTATGTCAAATGTTATATGTTGTATTATATAACAAAATAGACATTTATAACATATTATAAATGTCTATCTTTAAATAAAATATTAAATAGATACCTTTACATCCTAAACAGAAGGTCAAAACGTTAATATGTTACATGACAAACAAAAAAACGAAACATTATAGGCTATATATACAGATGTTTGCTAATGTATCCCTCTTATATCCATCAGGAATTAATATTAAATGATGAATTAACATTACCTCAGCACTGCATAAGTGTGG